ACTGCGAGCCTTGTGCGACTTCGCAGCCTTCTTCGCTCCCTTTGCTGATGGCTTCGGCGGCATCGTTGTCTTCGTCGTAATAAACGTAGAACAGACGATAAACAATTATATCGGGTCACTGCACCGCTCCAGCTATTTATAGTCATCGGCGAGCGTATTCGCTAGCCAAGCCACGCCCACTGTTTCCCGCCAATTTTATCGACTGTGCCGGTGCACATTGTGCAACAGCACACACAAAATGGCCTCTTGTTGTTGGAGGGGAATGGCGGGAAGGGCAAGTGATGTGTGCTGCGAGGAGACCTGCTCCGGCACAGTGGGCGTGGCCTGTTGATCTGGCGCGTCTTTCCGCCGTCTATAAATAGGGAGTTGTGAGTGGTCCGTAAACTCATTATAATCGTCTCGAAGATAATATGTCTAGTCGTGGCAAAAGTGGCAAAGCGAAGTCTTCTGGGAAGGCGAAGTCGCGCTCATCCCGTGCCGGATTGCAATTTCCCGTGGGCCGCATTCACCGTAAGCTGAAGAAAGGCAACTATGCGGAGCGAGTGGGTGCAGGTGCGCCAGTATACCTGGCTGCTGTGCTCGAGTACTTGGCGGCTGAAGTGCTGGAGCTTGCTGGAAATGCGGCACGCGACAACAAGAAGACCAGGATCAACCCGCGACACTTGCAGTTGGCGGTGCGCAACGATGAGGAGCTGAATAAGCTGCTGGCCGGAGTGACGATATCCCAAGGCGGTGTACTGCCGAACATCCAGCCTGTGCTTCTTCCTAAGAAGACCGCCGAGAAGGCGTAGTAAGCAATAGCTTACTCCTCGCCCCTATCCAAACGGCCCTCTTTAGGGCCACAAATTCACGAGTCATGCTTCTCTGGAGTGCTGCATTCGCAGCGCTTGCTTGATGATGTGTTTGTGGCTAACGATGAATAACTCAAGTAACCTGTGAAGTAATTCAGCGATTTCACGTCCCTGCTAAGCGATATATTTGCTCCGGGTTTACTGCAACGCATTGCTGAATTGGTGTTAAATGTTTGAGTGTTGAAAACACTGATGTACGCTATCCGTGAAATAAAAATTTCGGCACATGATAAAAT